TTAGTTCCAGCTCCAGCGCCTTGGCAGCCTCGCAGGCTCTCTGGCTCCGCCACGGCCTCCCGAACCAGAAGAGTGTCCTGCTTCAGCGTGTTCGCCCAGCGATGCTTCATCAATCTGAGCACGACGGCGAATGAGCACGCCGACGAAACTACTGATGATCACGCCCACGACGACCACCACGGAACGCCGGACCCTGAGGATAAACCCAAAAACGGACCCTAACCCTTTGGTAGGGGACCCAAGTCAGGAGGGCCAAAAACATTAGGGATAGGGGGTCTTTCCTGCAGACGTATCGAACCAAACTGCCCGGAATTATTACCCCTACTGCAAAGACGGGGACCTCAATGAAGCTACGTCTTCATCGTGTTATTCGGGTTACGGGTTCTTCTACCCTCGATGACCTAAGGTCGAAGGCAGAGACGTCTGCGTCGTCATCCTGGTACGGCTCTCCCTTGTTGCTTGGATTGACATGAAATGTCACATTGTTGTCATTGCAAGCGTGCCTGAAATCACGGCCCATCGGGTCCCCGCATACGCGCCAAATCTCGCACGCCGTCTTCTTGATGGGATGGCAGTCCCAAGGGAACGGCAACTTCCCATCTCTGCCGCGGCACTCCACCGGCTGTACCATCCCGATCTGCTCGTCAACTCTAGGCACGGGGTCGAGGTCCGGAACAACGACAGTGACGCTCCTCTTGGCAAGCTCCTCAAACCTTATCAACTCACTCCACGGATGTTGGACATTCTTCGCGAAACGGTGTGCTGAGAACAATATGCCAGGCGCGGACCACACAAGCGCAGGAATTCCCGTGCGAGCAGCGACGATCTGAGCAATGCCACCTCCCAGCGAGTGGCCAGTGAGAATAACCTGGTCCGCTGGGTGAGCCTTCTTGGACCTTTTTATGCGCTGTTCAACTTCCTCAAATATGCTCTGCTCGGTGTCCTCGGTGTGCTGGTTGAGGGTAGGCCTCAGAAGCCACTGTATCCGCCATTCTGGAAAGACTGTGAGCACTGGAAAGATGTGGTTAAAAAGCTGCAACACTTCAATGCCTGCGAAGAAGCTTGCGTCCGTCACAGCGTCATACGAAGTGGACGTGCCCTTGATGGCAAAAACTCGAGTACCACTTCGATTCGGAATCTTTGAAGGGAAGAAAATCTCCAGCACTCGAGGCACATTTTTGTACGGTGAAGGGTCTTGCGAAATGGGGGTGTCATAATTCGGTGTATGGTGCCCGTGTCTCCCCGAGAAATTATAACCCCGATGCAACAATTCATTGATGTCTTCAGGCCGAACTGCATAGGATCCGCCGCTGTGCCGTAGGCACTGAGTGGAGTGTCCTCAGGTCCCTTCGAGCCTTCTGGATTGAGGAGTACGCATGACCTTCAAAGGCCTCAGTGGTAAGGCTTAGGGCTGCGCGCAGACAGTAGAAGCAAAACATCCACCCTCATATTACGCACCCCGACAAGCAAAACCATTCAGCAAACGCACCCAGGGAAGGAGTTGATCAGGGCAGGGCTGTTTCGTAAACGCCCAGTGCCGTTTCGCAAATGCCGGCAGTGATCGGGGACGGGGTGGTTTGTTCTCCCTTGAGACAACCGCCCCCCCCCAGGTAGTCCCGGCTGGCCACAGCAGACACCTCGAGAGTCAGAGGCGGTCTCAACACGCCGACGCCGCCTTCGGCAGCTCACCTGAGAACCCGCACTCCCAGCCGAGCCTAAGGTGAAGATGGCCCCCGAGACTGCCAGCAGTCCCGGGCCCCAGACGCCCCCAAGTGGCCCCCAAAAAGCTCTCAACGGGGCCCCTTAGAGGCACCAAAAGGCCGCCAAGATGCTCCCAGAGGCCGCCGGTAGATCCACCTCTCCGGCAGCTGAGGCACGGTGGTGGCCGCCGCCGACGTGGCCACTCGGACGGGGGCTCGCCTGCCAGACTACGCAGCTCCTGCGTGCAAGACAGCTGCATCCAGACAGGCTCTCGGTTGCCTCTGGCCCAGCCCGCCGCCGATCAGGAAACATCAACCCGTGGGACCCAGGAGGAGGAGGAGGAGGAGGAGAAGGAGGAGGAGGAGGAGGAGGAGGAGGAGGGAGGAGGGAGGAGGGAGGAGGGAGGAGGGAGGAGGAGGAAGAGGGAGGAGGAGGAGGAGGAGGAGGAGGAGGAGGAGGAGGAGGAGGAGGAGGAGGAGGAGGAGGGATGTGATTGTGATTTTCTCTCTCGCGCTCTCGCCTTTCTGGGCCCGTGAAGCCCGAGACGGCCCCAAGAGGTCGCCGCAAGAGGCACCAAAAAAAGGCCCTAAGACGGCCCAAGTTGGCCCGGAGGTGGCCCCAGCACAGCCCATAGACGTTCTAAGAGATCCCCAGGACGGCCCCCAAGAGCCCCCCAGGGTCCTCAAGACCGTTTCAGACAGGCACCCTGACAGCCCGATAGTACCATGAGACAGACCAAGACGGTCTCAAAGTGGTCCCCAAACGATGATCAAAGAATCCGAAATGAAAACCAGGGGAGCCCAAAAGTGGCAGTCGAAAGGCCCTCCTTAGTGTTCCTCTAGGCGGTTTCTCCCAATTTGGGGGGGGCACGCGGTCTTCTAGCATTGCCGCACCTTCGCACGACATTTCACCAAACTGGTGCTTCCCGAAGGCAGGACGCGGCGGTGTTTCGCCCTGGGCGTCATCGATATGTGTGCCAAGCCCGCGAGATCGAGGGATGACAAAGTCGCCGTCGCCGCGCCCCATGCCATATTACAGACGGGATACTTCGCAAGCTCATCGCTGCCATTCCACGGGTGATGAGGGTCACAGCTTCCCTCGTCGCCCTCCCCGCCACAGCTGGGCATGAACGCATTGTCCCGCTCCACCGTCATTAGCGGAGACAGGTCTGGCGTGGGCAAGATATATATTTCCGAAAGGAGGATAACAGAACTCACGGACATGAAGAACACCAGGATCGCAAAGAATGGCCCTCCAAGTATCCTGGGCAAGTTCTTGCGGATCCCACAGCTGAGCAAAGACACCACAGTCACCAAAACGCACGCGCACGCCAATACCCCAAGACGCACGTCTGATGTCCGAGTTGAGGAGCCAGTACCGTACATGGAATTATAGGACAAGACGTGCCGAGTGGCGCAAACGGTCACTGCCCACGATACCAGGCATACAAAAACGCAAACCAGCCACGTGCCACAGTTCTTGGTCATCGTGGTGCTCGCTATATCACTCTTGCTTCTCGCCAGCCCCTTGGGCTGGTCGTCCTCACCCTTGGACATCGCATGCATCACAAGTCTCTCATTCCATTCCTGGTCAGCGAATGCCCACTCTTCCTTGTGATAGGCCCAATTGTGATTGATGATGCCACGAGTAAGCCAAAGTGAGCATGTGCAGGGGAATACGTGTTTACTCCTGAGCTCCTCATGGATCACGTCCCGCAGCTTTTCTCTCTTATGGTCGCACGATATCCTGACGTCGGCGACTGCAAATAAGAAAGCAATTGCAAGAACGCCATAGGAAGACCCTGCGATGAATGCCTTAATGGATGGGCCAACCTGGTAGGTGGTGAGGACCCTGTAGAAAGCACAGCACCCAGGCACCACATTGAGGCAGATCACCAAGCATATCTCGACGGCGACATACGTCCAATTGGGGATGGGCTCCGCTGCCCTTTCCTGTTTCCTACAAGGAAAAAGAGGGCTCGCAGCTGCTGCAAGAATTGTTGCACGGCACAAGGTGAGCGGAACCTCTTGCACAGAGTCCAGCACAAGATCGCAGAACTCGTCGCCGAGAAACGCCGTGAACACGATCAGAAAAGGCAGCAGCAAGAAGCCGATGTACGCTGAAACAGCGTTGCATTCAGAAAAACTCTGGCTCTCACTATCCGCGTCTGGCGTAGAAACGTCCGGAACAAAAACAAATATCGAACAAAAAATCTCCATGAGGAAGCCCGAAAACCACGCGAGGAGGAGCATGATGCATAAACATGACGCGTAAGCCACGAGGAAGCGGAGCCAAACCTTGTAAGCCAATGTCAGTGAGCTGCTCCTGCCCCTAATCGGAAGCATGAACGGCAGTTGCTTGGTCAGCTTCCGCACCTTCCCCTGTTTAATGTCGTCTAAGAGTTGGTCATATTTCACTATCTCGCGCTCCTTCTGCCGCATGATGGCACCTTCCAACTTGTCCTTCACGCTGGTGCCCGTTCCCTCCGGTGTCCTCTCTTCCCGGGTTAAAAGCGGATTGCGAAAAGAGTGCGGCCGACGATCGGCAATCCAGGGGCAGCATGACTCCGAGTGCTGATCCACGTAATTGGAATAAGCCACCAGCAGGCTGTGCAATTCTTCATTTGCCGCCGTGCCCCTCCTGCAGGCGGGCCCACGTGAACACTACTACTCCCGCCGGTCCAAGCCCTGGGGAAGGGGGGCCCAAGACGGTGGTGAAGGCCACCCACGGCGGCGGTACAACCGAAAACCGACCGAACCGACAACGAGACCGAAACATATACTCAGGCCGCAACCAGCGTAGAGGGGCGCAGCGACGCAGCAACGGCATAACAGCAGCCGACCAAACCGAACCGACCGAACGAAACCGACCACGACGTAGCCGCACCGACGGAAGCGCGGACACCCGTGCTGGTTGGGACCTCGGGAGCTGCGAGCGGACGCGGATGGCGTGATCCCCTTACCTGCGGCCCCCAAAGGATCTGAATCGATGCGGCGGGGGCAGAGCTCGGACTCCGCGACTGCAGCAAGCACATACGATACGGCATCTTGATGTTGGACTCTGAGCTTCGCTAGGTACCACGACGCTCTACGGCCCCATCGGGAGACAAGAAATTATCGGGGGCACCAGCTGGCTGGCAAAATTCTTATCTGCTGTGCCTACTATAGTCGGCCAGTCCTCGGAGGGCAAGGGGCGCGTCACTTCGGAGCCCCTTTGGGTGCTCTGGGCCACGTGACATACGAGGCCACGGCGGGGGCGATGTCCCACGACCCCAGGATGCAGGGGATCTGATATACTTGGAACCCAGAAGGGGGCTTGAATGTGACCATACCCACCGCCAACAATCCTGGGACATCTGCCCCCTGGTCGGTGGACATGTGTAATTGCACTCCCGTCTCGGATGAAAGGTGCTCTGGTCTTCACCGACGCCTCTATGGAAATACTGGGGCCGCCTTGGGCCATAGCCACCTCCGGCAACCTTCGAGTTGCCATGTGGGAGCGGGCGCTGGAGGGAACGGGCCCTGGACACAGAGCTCTCCCCCGCGGCCGGACATCCAGAGCCGTTCTCTCCGACGGATCCCTGGACCCATAAAACCAACGAAACGACTGCTGCAGGTCTCCTCCTCCTCGTGCCGACCTCTGCCCCGGGGAGTAGTTTCAAACAATGCCATCCTGGACTCGCCCCCGTCCTTCTCCTCCTCCTCCTCCTCCTCCTCCTCCTCTCCTCCTGCTGCTCCTCCTCCTCCTCCTCCTCCTCCTCCTCCCTCCTCCTCCTCCTCCTCCTCCTCCTCCTCCTCCTCCTCCTCTCCTCCTCCTCCTCCTCCTCCTCCTCCTCCTCCTCCTCCTCCCCCTCTCTCTCCCTCCTCCCCCTCCTGGACTCGTCCTGGGATGAGTTCCAGCCAGACTCCCAGGAGGGGAGCCCAGCCGTGGCGGCGAGCTCCTGCCCCCCTTTGGAGGCCCAGGAATATCCCCGAGGAGGAGGAGGAGGAGGAGGAGGAGGGAGGAGGAGGAGGAGGAGGAGGAGGAGGAGGAGGAGGAGGAGGAGGAGGAGGAGGAGGAGGGGGGAGGAGGAGGAGGAGGGGGAGAGGAGGAGGAGGAGGAGGAGGAGGAGGAGGAGGAGGAGGAGGAGGAGGAGGAGGAGGAGGAGGAGGAGAGGAGGAGGAGGAGGAGGAGGAGGAGGAGGAGGAGGAGGGGGGGGGGGGGAGGAGGGGGGGGGGGGGGGAGGAGGAGAGGAGGAGGGGGGGAGGAGGAGGAGGAGGAGGAGGAGGAGGAGGAGGAGGAGGAGAGGAGGAGGGGGAGGAGGGGGGGGGGAAGGAGGAGAGGAGGAGGAGGAGGAGGAGGAGGAGGAGGGAGGAGGAGGAGGAGGAGGAGGAGGAGGAGGAGGGGAGGAGGAGGAGGAGGAGGAAGGAGGAGGAGGAGGAGGAGGAGGAGGAGGAGGAGGAGGAGGAGAAGGAGGAGGAGGAGGAGGAGGAGAGGGAGCAGGAGGAGGAGGAGGAGGAGAGGAGGAGGAGGAGGAGGAGGAGAGGAGGAGGAGGAGGAGGAGGAGGAGGAGGAGGAGGGAGAGCAGGAGGAGGAGGAGGAGAGGGAGCAGGAGGAGGAGGGGGAGGATGAGGAGGAGGAGGAGGAGGAGGAGGAGGAGGAGGAGGAGGACCCGAGAGCCTGCCAACATGCTCTAGGGCCAGGCGCAACGACAAAAACAGGCACTCACAGCTTGAAGGTGGTTCGGCTTCGGGAGCAGCAGGAGCCTCAACATGAACACATACGCTTTCGGAGGTCAGCGCGGATCTCTTGGATCGGCGCTGGGCTCCACTGTCGGCGCCTCAGGTGCCGCCCCTTGCGCGCAGGGGACATGGTTCCAGTCCCGATCCAAGACATCTGCGCATCATCCGAAAATCGATGTTAACGCAATGTTTCCTTCATCGAATCTCACCGTTCGGGCTTTGCTTCATGGGGGGGTGGGCAACAAGCTGGGGGGCGAAGAGCGGTGGACTTTTCGTGCACCTCCAACGGCCCCAAAGGGGGGCCTTTGGGGCTCCACTCCTGCAGCGATGGAGCCCCCCAGTTGATCGCCCTTGCACTTTTAGCTTCTCCTCCTCCTCCTTCTCCTCCTGCTCCTCCTCCTCTTCCTCCTCCTCCGCCTCCTTCTCCCCCTCCTCGTCCCCCTCCTCCTGCTCATCTTCCTCCTCCGCTTGCTCCTCCTCCTCCTCCTCCTACTCGTACTCGTACTCGTCCTCCGCCTCCTCCTCCTCCTCCTCCTCCTCTTCCTCCTCCTCCTCCTCTCCTCCTCTCCTCCTCCTCCTCCTCCTCCTCCTCCTCCTCCTCCTCCTCCTCCTCCTCCTCCTCCTCCTCCTCCTCCGGTAACCGTCATTATCTGGGGGGGTCGGGGCCCCATCTGACGGTAACGCCTGTTCGGCGTGGGGTGGGGTGGAGCACCGATCACCTCGGAGCGGAGGCGCGCTGCGATCGCAACAGCACGCGCGCGAGCACGAGCATATGAGGGGGGGGAGGTGCAGGCCCCTCCTGCCTGCACGTACGATCGCTCCTGTCTCAGCGGGCGGCGGGCGGGACGGCAACGACAGTAACGCGCCGGAGGGCCACGGAAACAACACCTCTTGATCATCCCCCCCCGTTGCGAAACGCCCGAAGCGCCCCGCCTTCTGCGCATGACGACGAGTCCTGCCCAAACCAACAGGAGACCGCACGCGGACCCTGCCCCTGCCCCCCACGATTTCTGAGGGCAAGGGTGGGGGTCCGCTTCGCTCGAGAGCTCCCGAGCGAAGTGGACCCCGCCCTCCCCCATCAAAAAGCCGTGGGGGGCAGGGGTATAGGGTCCGCATGCGGCCTCCCAACCTCAGCCCGACCTGGAGAGCCCGCGGGCCTGCCCGCCGCACACGGCGGTGGCATCGAAGCCCCGCCCTGCACGGCCATCGGCCCTCCTGCCAAAACAGGGCTAAGATCGGCGGGAGCAACATGACCCCACTCGAGGGAGGGTGTATCTAAAACAGGGCCAGGACCGGGAGAAATGGCTCCAGAGCGTCCCGGAGCGCTCGCAGAGCGTTCCTGGAACGCTCTGAGAGCGGCCGCGGGCCGCCCAACACATCCTCCAAACCCGCCGATCCTCGGAGACTTCGAGTTCTCCCGATCCGCGTCGTTTTACCTGCACCGCTGGGCAGCGGGGGCCTAGGGCCCGGCCTCCGCCGCGCGCCCGGCGGACTCCGGACCCTCCCCCCGGCGCCCCTCGAGCTGCGTGCATCTCGCTGCTCGGCGAGGGCAGGGGACCGGCCCGCCTTTCACCGCCTAGCCTTCCTCATGCCGGCGAGCCCCCACCAGCGCAGGAATCGTGGATCGGCGAGGGTAGGATTGGCGGCCTGGAGCTGGGCACCAGCACCAACAGAGGGGGGCTGCCTCCTGAGGGGGAAGATGGTCCTGGATTTCGGTGTCGGTGGTCGTAGTTCGGCCACCTGGGAAGCCAGAATACTACCACCATCGCCGAGATCGGGATCTTCTTCCCTCGGTGGAGGCACACCGCCGATATTGGTGTTGGTGTCAATCTCTAGGCCTGCGATAGGAGGCCGGTGCGGCGTCCACCGCCGAGCTTCCTTCCTCCCGGCGAGTCCTCGCCATGGGGAGCCCACGGACCCGCCCGTCGCACGTCGCCATGCCGTTAGGACGGGCGTGTCCCGCTGCAGGCGGCTTTCGGGCGAAAAATAAGGGAAGAAAAAGTTGCATAAACATAAAAACTCGGAGGTCCGCGCGGATTTCTCGGATCGGCGCTGGGGCCCCCCAGCGGCGCCTCCGGCGCCGCCCCTCCCTGGCGCGCGGAGCGCGCCAGGGAGGGGGGTCCAGCGCCGATCCGAGAAATCCGCGCGGACCTCCGAGTTTCTACGTTTATGCCACTCTTTCTTCTTCGAAGAGAACCCAAATACCCCACACATGCTCAAACGCATTCGAACATAGTCGAAGAATCGTCCCCAGGCTATGTTTTTCCTGTTTTTGTATGCTCATCCTGCAGAAGGGGCAATGCCCGACGTTGACCCTGGCGGCGTCCCGCGCACCTGTGCGGCGGGCGGCGCGGCGTGGCCGACCGCCGCCCGCCTCACGGGGGCGGGCTCTCACCTCGGGCAGCACTCTGCGCCTGTGGAGCCCAAGCCTGCGGAGGGCGGAGGGCCCACGGTGCCGGCGACGACCAGGGCGCGGGCGACGACGAGGGCGAGGGTGAGGACGCGGACGAGGGGGAGGACGAGGGGGAGGACGATAGCGGGGACCAGGACGAGCCTTCGAGACGGGCGCGAAGACGCCCGGTGAGGACGAGGACGAGGGATGGTGGCGACGACGATGACAAAGATATGGGTTTTTGGTTATTTCCGGTAACGGTCGTTACCCATGGGGCGGGGCGCTCGGGGCCGCGGGTAACGGGTAATAATTTGGAGGGAGTGGGGCACGTCGGGGCGGGGGTGCGCTTGGATCGCTGTAGCAAGCGCGCGAGCAACAGCACGTGAGGGGGACCCAGGCCCCCAACCTGCGTGCGATCGTCACCGCTGCCCGGGGGTGAAGAGGCCTGTCCCGGGGAACGACCGTGGCGTGCCAGAGGAAGGAACAACAAAAACTATATGTCGCCGCGCCGTTTCTTCTCGCCTCGCCCAAACGGAGGACCCCCCCCACCACGGCAGACCCAAGGCAGACCCTGCCTCCAGCGCCCCAGTAGACGACCCCGGCACCGCGGCAGAGCCACGGCGAGCCCGCCGCGTGCGAGGCGGCGCTCGCCCCGGTGGCCGTGGCGCCCTTGCCAAGACGCGAGGCCGCGCGTCGGAACAGACGGCACGGCGACATGTCGAGGAGAGGAGGGGAAACTTGCTGCAGAGTGCGAAGACACGGCCTTTGACTCAAAATTCGACGCTCTCCAGGACGACCCTGGCCCGGGAGACGCCGAGATCCGCCTCGGCACCCGCGCTGCCACGTCACCACGACGGCGCCGCAATGGCGATGCCAACGATGCCAACGATGCTGCCGCTGAGGGCGACAACGACGATGATCACGAATGTCGACATGCTGATGTTGGTGGTAATGATGAAGGCGAGTCCTACAACGACTACTACCAGTACTACTACTCCTCCTCCTACTACTACTGCTGCTACTACTACTGCCACTACGACTACTGCTACTACTACATTTCTACTACAACTACTACTGCTACTACTACTACTACTACTACAACTACTACTACTACAACAACTACTACTACAACAACTACTACTACGACTACTACTACTACTTCTACTACTACTTCTACTACTACTACTACTACTACTACTACTACTACCGCTACCACTACCATTACCACTACGACTACCACTACTACTACTACTACTACTACTACTACTACCACCACTACTACTACTACTACTACTACTACTACTACTACTACTACTACTACTACTACTACTCTACTACTACTACTACTACTACTACTACTACAACTACTACTACTACTACTACTACTACTACTACTACTACGGCTTCTACTGCTACTACAAATACTACTACTACTACTACTACTACTACTACTACTACGACTACGACTACGACTACTACTACTACTACTACTACTACTACGACAACTACTACTACAACTACTACTACTACTACGACTACGACTACGACTACGACTACGACTACGAGTACGACGACGACTACTACTACTACTACTTCTACTACTACTACCCCTATTACTACTACCGCTGCTACTACTGCTACTACAACTACTACTACAACGGTGACTACTACTACTTCTGAGTCGACTACTACTACTACTACTACTACTACTACTACTACCACTACGGCTACGACTACGGCTACTACTACTACTACTACTCCTACGGCTACTACTACAACTACTAAGACTACTACGACTACTACTATTACTACTACCACTACTACTACTACTGCTACTACTACAACTACTACTACTACAACAACTACTACTACTACTACTACTACTACTACCAGATACTTTGGACAATACGACTACTACTACTACTACTACTACTGCTGCTGCTGCTGCTACTACTACTACTCCTAGGGCCACTACTACTACTACTATCTACTACTACTACTACTACTACTACTACTACTACTACTACTACTACTACTACTACTACTACTACTACTACTACTACTACTACGACTACTACTACTACTACTACTACTACTACTACTACTACTACTACTACTACTAACACGACGATGGTAATGCTGCTGCTGATGATGATGCGAGTGATGACGCTGATGCTAATGATGATGCTGATGATGATGACGGCGATAATGACGACGACGGTGATGCTGATGAGGACGATGCTGGTGATGATGATTATGTTGCTGATGATGCTGATGATGATGAGTATGATGATGTTGCTGATGATGATGCTGATGACGATGATGACGATGATGCCGGCGACGAAGGGGAAGACGATGAGGAAGACGGACTCGGGCGCGGCTCCCGAAGGGATCTCAAAGGAGGAGGCCATGTGTGGGCCGGAAGGAGGCCGACGATGCACGAGGCAAGACGACGTTTGGCGTCCAGTGGAGGCCAGTCCACAAGAAACCCTCCACAAGAAACCCAACCCTGAGACCCCAGGACTTTCATTGATTCCTGGCGTGGGAACGTCACGCTTTCCGCAGCAAAACCATCGAAAACCACGAAATCCAGGGCACCCTGGAGGCAAGCAGGGTGTTTCTTGGCATGGGTCTCCACTGTACATTCGGTTTTGCCTCCCCCCCGGGGAAGCGAATTGACTAAGGAGCAACCTGCGATCTCCGAAGTATGAGGGGAGCTCAACATATACTTTGAACAGCGCGCGCTTCGCGCGTGCTGGTCGAAAACACGCCACGAGGTTAAACCAACCACGGGCAGAAATACAAGCATCTATCGAATACCGCGTCGATGGGGGTCGAGAGGAGTGCGCGAAGGCAGGGTCTCAGCGTCAATGCGCATTGGTCGCGTGACACTGGTCGGTTCCGAACACTGCCGCCCTGTAGAGTATTACACTGCGGGAGCCCGGTACGAAAATTTCAGAGGTACGCTCTTCGTGGGTTAACTATCCAAAAGACGTGCGGCAACCACCAACCACTAGAGGAGGCCCGCCGTGTATGGTGCAATACATCGAAGATAGAGCGGCTGGGGATGCGATAGCTTCTAAAACAGTGGGTTTCGACAGAAACCAGATTGAAACGTAGGAGCATGACAAGCTTGACCCATTCTCCAGGTATCTGTGGCCGATTACAAGCTAAAGATAGAGCGGCTGAACAACGACCGGAAGACATGGGACCCATTTCACAACGTTCCCGAGTACTGTCGGGGCGTTGACCTGAGGAACCCTGAAGAAGGAACGGGGCCCCCTTTTCCCATAAGTTGAACTTCCATTCTACATGGAAAACATCAGGAAAACCTGAGGCAAACTAGTAAACAATCAAGGAACACCGAGCCCCTGCCCAACGAAAAGGGTTCCTTCTTCAGCGCCCCGACTGTACACGTCGTTCATTTCTAACCGTGCTCATTTCTAATTCTGCTCGTTTCTAATTGTTCCTGGCCCCCTAGTGGCCAGGAAGATGCCAAGGATAGAACAATTAGAAATGAAAGGATCTTGCCCCCCAAAAAATCAAAGAACTTTCGACTACTTAGAAATGATCAACGTGTAGGAGGAACTGCGAGATAATACCAAGCGGCGACTGCACAGAGAAGCGCGGCCAGATCGCCACGAGGGGTGGGGAAAGAAAGACGCAACAATTGAGGCAGGAGGAGTCGGCAGCGGAGGAGGAGGAGGAGGAGGAAAACGAGAAGGAGGAGGAGGAGGAGGAAGAGGAGGAGGAGCAGGAAGGGCAGGAGTCGAGTCGGGATGTGCGTCGGATCGGGAAGCTTTGGCACGGGCTCGAAACCGAATCGGAACGGCCACGCCAGAATGAATCACAACGCTATGCAAACATCGGGCCGACCGCAAGAAAATCGAAATCGAGTCAGATCGTACTGGCCAACATCGACATCGAATCGTATCGATCGGATCGAAAAGTACCCTGTGGAGATCGCCAGAGGCACGAAACCATTTTTCACCCTTGCGGGACAACAACTTATCAGGAGCACGGCTCGCGTACATCTCCGGCGTCGCGTTTACTCCGCAGCATGGACCCCCAGAGGTCTAGACCTCTTCCACGTGGGCAGTGCTGCACCCCGAGACGTGCTTCGGGGGGCCTGGGCCCAGCGAGGCCCCTCCCCCGAGGCCGAAGACAAGGAAAAACCTTCCGTCGCGCTTTTCCTTCTTTGGCGACGGGGCATACTCTGGGAAGGCACGAAGGCATGGCCGCACCATCGCGAAACAGCAGCTCGCCGGGCACCCGCGCTCGACTGCGAGGCCGACGGCGCCGACTGCGCGCCTGGGGCCGGCGCTGCCACTGCATCATCATGTGCTGCGCGGTCCCCTCCTGTGCCGCGGGGTGCGCGCGTCGCTCTGATCTGCCTGCATCCTCCTGCTCCTCCTCGTCCAGGCGCATCGCCAATTTCCACTTCCTCGGTACGACAGCTCCTCCAACCCCATACACCACCACCCTCCTCCTGGCCTTCTCCTGCTCCTGCTCCTGATTCTATTCCTCCTCCTCCTCACATCTCGTTT